ATGAATATACTTTTTCTCCATGACAGAAAAAAGCCATATGGCTTCTGAATTTTAATGTGAGAAATGAAGAAATGCATGGGTTATGGCTAACCATAAAAAAATACTTAAATATAATTCCTTCATTTGAAAGTGTTTCACTAATTTTTTAAAACTATATAAGGAATATTATCTATGCTTCCACTTTACTAAGCCATAGAATCTATGTAGATTCTACATAGAGAGTCAACAAATGATGCTACAAAGCAGCACATGCTTGAGTACGTTAGACAGGCAACAGCTACTTGAGCAACAAAAGTCACAATTAGAGAAAGCTTAGTTCCCACTGCAAAAGAGAGGCAAATACTGCAAAAGAACAAGGGGAATTAGACTGTAGTTTTGAAGAGTCACTTGCAATTTTTATTAAATGCTGATCATTTCCATATCCTAGAGGTAATTGCCTAATTATTAGGAAGTTGCTGCTCTTCCCTTTCACCTCTTTGAAAAAAAAGAAAAAAATATGTGATTCTCTTAGAATTTTCAACATTGAAAAAGTAAATCGATTAAGAGGACAAAAACTTCATGGTCAATATGTTTTTATTTTTAAATTAAGGATGGAGAAATCTACAAAAAGAATTTTCTGTTCTAAAACCATTTGGGGTAGATAAAGGAAGATTGTAAGATTTCCTTCTCATCAAACTATCCAATAATGCCTTCATAAGACTTGCTTACATAGATGTAAATAAATTTTAATATACAAGTACTGTTTTTGACCAATAGATACATTACTAAACAGATACATGTGTCTTGCAGTTTCATATACCTAAGCTTTTTAAGTGATGGAAAAAAATTTGTACATAAAAGAAACCTTAGGGATCCCTTTTATAGAGTGAAGAATCCTTTTGTAGTTTGGATATTCACCAATAATTTACGTGTTTATTTCATTTAAGTTTTTATGCATATGATCTGCTTAAACCAAAGTAAAACAAAGTACACATGTTCCATATTACAAAGATGAAAATACTATATTTATTCAATCATGGCTCATACATTTAATAGAATAAAAATTCTTTTGTGTCTAAAGTTAAATTAAGACTAAACATCTTTATCTATATGTGATTATTTTTCTTCCTTCCCACCTATGCTTTTCATATGGAATTAATGATTAACAAGTATTCCTAAAATGTGAATAAAGCAGTGAAAGAAGAAGAATAAAAACTGAAAAAAATACCTACTTATAATTTTAAATTGCTCTTAAAATAAAATTATAGAGAAAATACCTTGTATGCTATTTAACTTCATTAAGCTATAAATTAAGTTAGCTATAAATTATCTATAAGTTAAATTCATTAGCTATAAATTAAATTTCTCTACATCATATCTAATTTTCTCATTAACTATTAAAAATCCGAACTTCGTATTCATACATGAAAATAGTTTTTCTTTTGGGTGTAAATAGAGTGTACTTTAGAATTCTGAACACTTATCAAACTAAAGTTGGCTAATGAAATGTTAACAATAATATTCAAAACATGAATAAAATCCATACATTAATATCTAAGGCAATGAAAGGCTTTGTGTGAATGAATCATCTTTTGTCCAACTCTATCACCTTTTGTTTTTTAATGGCTATGTTACAAGTGTCTAAATCCCTGTCCTGGCAAACTTCCACTGCTCGTGCCTCTGGTAGTTTATTTGCATATTCAGCCCATCTGTAGCCCTTATATTGATTGAACTCACAAACAGAGAAAATCAAGAATCCCTGCACAGATTTGTATGTGGTTACCCCTACTTTTGAGCCTATTCCAGGCTTGTACTTTGGGGTTTAGGCTTTAATCCTTATAATCAAACCCCACACAGTTGTTAAAAGACATGCAGTATCACTTACATAGTAAAACCATTGAAATAAGCATATTCCTCAGCTGTGAATCCACAAATATCTTGGCAAGATAATTCCACACCTTGCTGAAGAAGAAGCTTTACTAAACGTGTTGGTTCATCACTGACAGCAAGAATAAGGGCTGTTCTGGAGCAAGAAATAGAAACGAATGCCCATTTAAAGATCTTAAACATGCCTCATTTAAAAAAGTCAGTCTTCTCAATTTACTACTCAAATGTAGGACCTCTATCAGAAAGAGTCAAGGCAAGAATGTAAAAAGTACAGCAGATCTGCTCAAAAAAGTGTGCCAATCACAGATCATATCATGGAGTCTAAACATGAACAGTACCTAGGAAGCAGCTAGCTCAGTCATTTTCAATCTCTTCTTCCTGGAAGCGTAGTGTTTTCAAAAACATGTCTCAAAATTCCATGAAGGAATGTGTCTTAGGACTTTGGGTCCCCTGATCCCATTTAACTACAACAGTTGGTCATCTATGTAAGAGTCTAACGTTAAATTCTAATAATAAATGATAAATAAATAACAACAATAATAACCAATTAGTAGTTGGTCCAACTGTTTGATTTTACAATGGGAAAAACAAATCCTGAAAGTTCAGATAATCTGTCCAAAAGCATGTGAGCATACATCCTATGGGTCTTATGGTTCTATATTTTCTCATTATCATATACCTGTGTTTTGTGGACATATACACACACACATACACACACACACACACAATGCTATTACATAGCTCTAGTTATGTGCTATCTTATTTATTAATTATACCTTTGATAATTATCTGAAGCATTCACATCAGCCCCTTTCTCCAGAAGAAATTTTACCATTTTTGGATTATTGTTAATAACGGCAACCAACAGTGGAGTATAACCATCCTGAAAAAATTATTTCAAAATGATTAAAATATTGTAGCAAATTTTCATGCTCTTTAGATTTAAGTTCAACTTAAAATACGTGTGTATAAAAACTTCTGAATATACACTGTAACCCTTAAAAGATTTTAGTACATAAAAAATGTGATTTCAAAGACCAATAAAACAAATCAGGGTTGAGCCAGACAAAAAATTAAAGTTGCTATTTTAGGCTTATTTCAAATTATAGGTAAGAGCAGCCTAGAATAAGTAAGTGATGAGCACCTAGCATTTAATGTAAGTATTGCATACCATCAATTCACACTTCATAATATTGTCATATTCAGATTTCCACTGGGTTTCATTTAAACCTCCAAGGCTGGCACTTATTTTGGATGTCATGTAGACAAAATATCAGTAAAGTATCAATATGCTTTTTTAAAAAATTCATTGGTTATTCATAATGCCTTAATGGAAGAGTTAGATTAATTTTAATATTATGTGATTTGCTATTTCAACCCTATTATTATTATTCATGAGTATATCAATAAAATAGAAAAAAGGTGGGTTTTATGTTTTTATCAATACCCAGTTATAAGAAAATTAAATATTCCTCATTTGTTATGGCCTGTTAAACAATTATAATTGTTAAATATAGTGTTTCTTTGGAGGTCAGGATTACAATCTGCAATAAAATAAAGAAAGACTTTAAGAGAAGAAAAATTTTATCAGTTTTTGATAATCTCTTCTCATTCTCCCCAATTTCAGTTTGGAAAATTCATTCTTTATATAACATATATTTCAACATAGATGAATTATCTGAAATATACTCTTCAGTTGCTTTCTAAAATATAGGATTTTTTTCTTTAATAGAAAACTACCTTATTTTTCGCTTCAAGATCAGCTTCGTAATCAAGCAGTTGTTCAACTAATGAGAAACTCTGACCACAAACAGCATAGTGAAGAGCAGTATTATAACGAATATCCCTCAGATTTGGGTCTGCACCACAGTTTAGAAGAATAGTAGCACAATCCTCATTTTGACACTGTACCGCCTGTTAATGCAACAAGAGTAGATGAGTAACAAATTTACTTTTTGGGATATGATAAATTAATGTTTGATACTATGTTTTAAAACATGAAAAATCAACAAAAGTTAACTAGGAGAACTCAAACACATTCCAATTGAAAAAGAAAAATTATGGCATACCTTAATCAATGGGGATTTGTTTTCACTATCCCGGATATTTATTTTGCATTGTTGCTCAATTAGGAAAAGTACAACATCTCTATGTCCATTCGCACAGGCCAGGTGCAAAGGTGTTCTATGTCAATAAAACAAAACACAAAGTTAGAGATAAGTCTCCGTTTGAGAAGTTACTTATTTTACTCAAAAACAAGCCAGATTGTACATTGGTAAAGTACTTGCTGCATGCACATATTTCTATTTAAACAAATATACATTAATTACAATTACCTTTTATTGAACTTTCAGGGCTATGCAAGTGTGTTGAAGATTAAATATTTAACTGATTTCACTTCAAGGAAAATGTAACTAATTAGATGAAAAATAGATTTTTAAAAAAGTACCAAAATGATGTCTGGGCTTGGAAAAGATAATAAAGTTAGGTATCACAATAAAATTTAGAAATTATATTTAAAACCTGAGATGCATCTAATAGGTAACAGGAGGAAAGTATATTAATCAATGACATGCTATCTCTAATTGTGTGTTTTTCTTTATTTACTCAGTGATTAAAGTTGGCATTTGTATCTGAGAAGTAAAAGGTGAATGCCTAAGGACTCTCTAAGTTGTAGATCTTAACCCTATTTTAAGTTATTACACTAATTTCCACTTCTAAAGAACCGTATACTAGGTAGCCTGCCAGAAACCAGACACACATTCATGAACTTTGACAGAAGACTAATTAGAGCCATTTAAATTTTGCAATTTTTAGCCTGGACTGGCCCTCAATAAACATTTATCGTCTTCTAAGGTGATATCATTATAGCCTTGTTTTTAGATAATTTTATAATACCAAGGCCACATATAAATAATCCATTTAAAACAAGAAGCTTAAATATATTTTCCTTGTTTCACTCTAGCTCCTCGGAAGTACTCTATGGGTACCTAAATAGACCCACTATTGACACACAGAAGTAGCAAAAAGATGAACCTCAAAAATAAGATAACTACTTAAAAATAAGGCAATTTTCAAAAAGATAAACTAACAAAACCTATTCACAATAACTTACCATCTCTGGCAGTAAACCAAGAAAATATAAAAACAGTTCGAAAAAATTGGAGAAAGCTAAAAATCTAATTAAGTTTACCTGAATGTAATCTCTGGAAGGCAGGACTGTAATATAACTACAATATAAAAAGCTAAATTTTAACCAATTATATTATTATTTAGCTAAAGAGAGAGCACAGTCAGGAAGAGGACAGTCAGCTAACATAACAGAATAAAACCAGAAGTTATCCATAATTAACATACTTCATGGAAAAGATAATCTGAATTTAAGGAACAAACAAAGAAGAACTTTGTTGTAGGACAAAAGTGATTCATCAAACACCATGGTCTAAATTATGTTTCCCTCAAAACTATCCACCTTACTTTACTGTGATTCCATCCTTACCAAGCATTTCTGATGACTAATTTCTCAGTAATCCTGATACAATGAAGCATTGATTAACCTTTCTGCTCACATTTACAATTTGGTTTAAGGATGAAATTCCTTATGTAATAGGAGTTTTCAGAGCCCTCAATCCCAACACAACACAGGGCTAAATAGCTTTAAGCCCACCAAAGATAAGTCTTTGCAGTAGATAGCAAATCCTGGCAAACATTTTGATGTGTCCCCTTCATCTGCCATTACACCTATTTTGAGAATTAAGTTCCAAGGAACTTTGGTGGTTTCCACCCAATTTTTAGATCTGCCTCTCCCTCCAACTCCAGTTTTATTTTTTACCTAATTTAAAATAAATACATAAAATTACATACACACACACACACAAAGAGAGAGAGAGAGAGAGAGACTGTTCTTACTAAGAGAAAGTAAATGGATTCCCAATAGGTCCTCCAAAAATAGCTGCTGCATCCTGCTGTATACCTCACTCTTCTACCAACTGAATCTAAAACCTTCAGTAACAAATCTACAAAAAAATTTCATGGCCCATATTAAACTCCAAGAACTTAGGAAATCAGCCATAAATTCAATAAAATAAAATAGCCTTGAAAGATTCCACCTTCAAAGGAGGTATTGAACAATGCAGCCTGGGGTCATTTATACAAAATCTGAAAACAAGAGCTAATCTAGCTTGAGCATGCACAAAATACTAAAAAGTTGACAATATTCGCTCAAACTGTCAGTCTTGTAAAGAAGATTTTTACTTAGAATATTTGACATCCTTTTAAAGCAGTTATCTTGGTTTAAAAAAAAATTTTAAAAACATACAGATTTAACATTTACATTGATTTTATTTTAAATTTTAGATTTAAGTGTAAAATTTTAGAGCTCACAATTGGAGCAAGCAGCAAAAAAAAAAATTGTCATGGCCACTTCTCTATATGTTTACACATATAATGTAAATGCCTCAAGGCCAATAGGAATGCTTTTCCACTTAATGTCAAAAACAAAGGCCATTCTATTTTTTGAAATAGTTGAATGTAAAAAGTATATTTACAGATATCTTGGAGAAACATTTTTAAATCAATATTATTCCATTTGTCAAAAATCCTTAACTTTCATCAATACATTATACTCCAAATTTAAGAGTTTAGTTTATATTGTTACTTTTTAACTCATGGTACTTAATCTAACCAGAAATCTAAATTCCTGTGAAGCTTAGTATTGGTTACTAGGTTTTCAGGCTAACTGGTGTCATTTTGTTTCATTCAAGTTCTGTTTTCTCCCAGACTCCCACTCTCTTTTATATCAATGGAAAAATTGTCAGCATAGACTGTGGACAGGTGATGAATGATCAGATACCAGAAATCTCAAATTGAACTTCAGCAAAAGGCATGACTCAGATGAGTGTCAAGGCTGAATGATTACTTTGAAAGCTGAAGTGAAAAGTGTTATCTGCTAGACAGAGTACAGGGTCAGAGCATAGCTGTAGCCTTCAATTGAGTCTCATCATGAGAATGTCCTTTTTAAGTAATATTCTTGGACTCTTGATAACTTAAGAGTTCAGGGTGAGTGAAGGAGAAGTAACCAAGGAAGCTAACTCACCCTAGGTCATTTATTTTTAACTCTAGACTGGGCACTTTCGATGTAATCTAGGTTTGAGTAGTAAGGTTGAAGGTATTAATTTAGAATTGGGCCTCCACTCACAAATTTATGAAGGTGATCTGAAGGGCTTTTTTATTAAAAACCATAAAAGTGATTTTATAGCAGGAGAGATATTAAACATCTCCAATTCATTTTCAAACTTATTAGGCACAGTGCTCTTGAAATAAAAACAAAAGTAGAAGCTAACTATGCAGAGCACATTAACAGGGAGCTATTCTGATTTAATAAGATGCCTGTAACAGAGCTTTGAAGATCTTTGTTTAAAAAACACTAATCGAGTAGTAGCTCTAGTTTGAAAGATGAGACTGAAGGTATCTCTGCATTATACAGATGTAGAGAAGGCCTCAAACTCAGATCTTGACTCTCAGAACAATGTTTTTCCTACTAGGCCACTATGGCTTCCTGAACGATCTGCTTATGCTATTTCCCCTGTCCCTTTTTTTTTTTTTTTTTTTTAACCAGAAATTCCAATTTTCAGTATCATTATTTTTACTAGAAAACATATATAAAAATACTACTTCATTAGGCCATTAATATGCACGTATGTTTCAGAGACCTTAAGCACAATGCTTCCAAAATGAGTCTGTGAAACATTTGATAAAACATTGTAATTTACCTCATTAAAAATTCAAACAAAACGAATAGTTCCCAATGACCATCTCACTCTATCTACTTTCCTCTCCCCACATTTCATCTCTTTCAGAAATAGCAATTTAAGTATATGTTCTTTAAGATTTTATCTTTCTTATTTTCGGTATCTCTCTCTTTACACACACACACCCAAATGTTCAAACAGAAATATACAGTTTGAGATTTTTTCATTCAGCTTTATTGAGGTGTTATTTATAATAAAATTAAAGTATACAATTTTATGAATTTTGACTAGTCAATTTACAGTCAATTCTCTGCAGTCAATTCTTTCACCTGCCCCTATATCTAAAACCACTGGTAACTATTAATTTGCATTATGTCACTATCCTTTTTTTTTAGATTCGGGGTGTACATATGTAGGTTTGTTACATGGGTATCTTGCATAATGCTGCGCTTCTGCTGAACTCATTACCCAAATAGTGAACATAGTATCTTATAGGTAGTTTTTCAACTCTCATGACCATCCTAACATTCCCCCATTTGGAGACCCTAGTGTCCATTATTTCCACATTTGTGTCCATGTGATAGAGATAATTTCATATCCTCTTTGACAATTTTGGATGCCTTTTCTTTCTTTTGCCTGATTTTTCTGGCTAGGACTTCTAGTACTACGTTGGATAGGAGTGGTGAGAGCAGACATCTTTGCTTTATTCCAGTTCTTAGGAGGAATGCTTTCAACTTTTCCACATTCAGTATGATGTTGGCTGTGTGTTTGTCATAGATGGTCCTTATTATTTTGAGGTATATTTCTTCGATGCCTAGTTTGTTGAGGGTTTTTATCATGAAGGGATGTTGGATTTTATCAATGCTTTTCCTGCAACTATTGAGATGATCATCTGGTTTTTGCTTTTAATTCTGTTTATGTGGTGAATCACATTTATTGATTTGCATATGTTGAACCATCCTTGTATACCTGGAGTAAAACCCACTTGATTGTGTTGAATTATCTTTTTGATGTACTGCTGGATTTGGTTTGCTAGTATTTTTGTGTCTATGTTCATCAGGAATATTGGACTGTAGTTTTCTTTTTTCATTGTTTCCTGTATGCTACAATGCTTTACCTTTTCTAGAATTTCATGTAAATGGAGTCATTTGTGTCTGGTTTCTTTCAGTCAGCATGACACTTTCAAGATTCACCCATATTTTTTGCATATATCCATAATTCATTGCATTTATTGCTGAATAGTATCTTTAAGTTATCCTATTTATATGTGCATGTATGTATTCATCCTTTCATTCACGTATTTTAAAAATATTGAGCACTTACTACAGCTAGGCAGGGTTCTAGCTGATGAGGATATATCAGCAAACAAAGTATGTGCAAATACCTGCTTTTATAAATCATACATGTTAGTAGAAGAGGTAAACAACAAACAAT